GGAGAAGGTGGCAGAACTCCTCTCTAGCTTGTGTATACCACAAGGCCTATTAAATATTGGTGCAGGCTACTGTATTTGGCTGAACACAGACTTTCTCGCCAATGTTATCTAATGCACAAATCAGGCTACGACTCTTCCACATGAGATGCCTATATTAAAAATATTGTGTTTAGAGTTGGATTTCAATATGTGTGGTTAATACAAGATGTGGGAAATGTGAAGATATTTATTTACCTTTTGAAACAAAGATTATTTGACAACCTTGACCAATCATGGTGTAGTTCTGTCAACAGTAGATTCCTTTTGTTATAAATGTTCAATCACTGTTAAATGTAGAAAGTATCTCACACTCCTTATCCCTGTACACCTGAGACTATGCATGACTCGCTTCAGATGTAAGGTTTAAACTTTCAGTAGACTTTGGGAGATACACAAATGTCCCATAGGTTTTAGGTTAGGATTGACGAACATAATGGTAAACGAAGGAAGACGTTTTTATATTGAACGATGCAAGAGAATGTGTCCTCTGTGTAATTTAGATGTGGAAAATGAAATCCATTTTTATATTGTATGTCCTTTATATAAAGATTTGCGTATATAGCTGAATATTATCTATGTAAGCCAACTTCATTATCTTTTAAACTACTTTTCTCATCAACTGACCAGCATGTATTAATAAAGCTGTCGTACTGTATCAATTATGCTTTTATTAAACGTCACAATCTGATATACATTTTTGTAGACGTATTTCACTACTTGTACGTAATTTACTGCCTGTAACATGATTTGATGTTTGGATCACTAATTACTACTTATTGCAACATATGGATAATGTATACTGTACGCAATTGGTATTTGTTGTCCTGAAACTTACAAAAGTTCTATTGAAGATTTGTTCCTGCGATACAGAGGATGTAGGGATAAAAGGCTGTTATTCTAGCCTATTTCGAGTTCGAGTCCCGGAGCATTCCTCTCACATGAACTTTGATACTTAAAACTGAACCTGTGACATTTCTCGGAAACACAACCACATTCATGAAACACGATGTGCACATGCATTACCTGCACCCAGGCCTTGTAAAAGCACAAGGAATTTTGGAACTCAATCACTTTGAGAAAATGCCACACTTGACACAAGACGAAAGGAATCAGGTTATCGGTATGTTTAGCCACGGTGCTTCAGATGTGGTGATTGCCAGGCACTTTAATGTGCATCCATCCACTGTAAGTCGACTCAGACAACGTTTTCGGGCTACCGGAAGTGTTGCTGATCGTCCGCCACCTGGTGCACCACCTGTGATAGCAGCTCGACAAAACCGCAATATCCGAGTTTCACAATTGCGAAATCGGTTCCAAACAGCTGATGATTAGGCAAGGAGAACAATTGGGACAAGTCAACGTCATTTCAGCGCCCAAAAGGTGTAAGGACGCCTTGGTGCCTTCAACATCCGGTGTCGTCACCCGTACCGTGGTCCAACCTTATTGCATCGACACAGACTTGCCAGACAGCGATGGGCAGCAAATGGGGCCAATCTTGGCAACAGGACATGGCCAAATGTCATTTTTTCAGTTGAATCCAGGTTTAACTTATCCTTTGCAGATGGACGTCAACAGATTTATCGACGTAAAGGAGAAAGACTTGCGCCAAACCGTGTCCTTTAACATGATCGTTTTGGAGGGGGTGGTGTCATGATCAGACCACAGACCATCAGAGGCTGCAGACCATCCAACAACTGTTCCTGAGAAATGTGTGTCTTTCAATGCCCCAAAGACTGCGAGCATGTCTTGCAGCGCACGGTGGACACACACGATATTGACTGCAAGTGACCCCTCCTTTGTGTGATGTCGTTGTTGCGTCACTGATGTTGTTGTTGACTGGACATTTTCAGACGAAATTATTCACAGATGTTCACTTAAAACATATCTGCCAGTTAGGTTTATATATGTTGAAATTAGCGTGAGTAAAGAAAGCATGAATGTCAAATTGAATTTTTAATGGATTTCAGTATATATGTATAAATCCATTGTATATGGGCCGGAGGCCTTTTGTACAATAAACATCTTTGACTTGACCTTGAGCGGTACTCAGCTCTATGAAATATGTATTTCAAACAATATATCAAGTCCCACATTGTAACATCTATTATCAAAATTCTTTCATCTGAAAACTCTGATGCTGTATATAACTCATGTTTATATTTATGCAAAGCCCAACAGCTAAGAGAAACTTAATCAATTACTTCCCTGGCATGCGTATTTCATGCAATCAAACATTGTCTGTATTATAGGCCTATGGCCTCTTTACTGAATAAACTGTCTGTCTGTCTGTAAACAGACACTTTGATTTTATTGTTTCGTGCTACAATCAGCAATGCACCTGCTTTACGACGTCCGTCTGAAAATATTTGAGAGTGGCAAGCCAATCAACTGATTCAGTTGGAAAGACATTTAATGAACAGGCTCCCGCGAAGATCCGTTCAAGCATTTGTCTTCAGCAACCCATGCTTTTCGTAAGAGGCGACCAACGGTATTGGGTGGTCGGCTCGCTGACTTGGTTGACACATGTCATCGTATTCTAGATCAATGCTGATTATGTTGATCATTGGATTGTCTGGTTCAGGATAATTTGCAGACTGACGCCATTTAGCTGGAGTAGTTGGAATATTGCTGTGTGTGGCGTTAAACAGCGATCAAACAAAATGAACAGGCAACAGGCAAGTCGCCACACGGACAAGAATCTGTTGCTGGAGGTTTAGTCTAACCCAGACGATTGAAGTTACGTGTATCGCATTAGTGTAACAGGTTGTATGCGGTTGTGTTCCATTGCTGTTAATAATTGTAAGGTGCTTGTATTGCATTGCTGTAACTGTTTTATTGTACCAGAACATGTTTACTTTGTGTAGTATTACTGTAATACATTGTTTGTCGTTAGTCGTGAATATCTGTTATGGATTGTGCAAAATTCGACTTGCATAAATGTGAAGTATTGTGTGGCATCAGTGTTGCTTGAATATAATTGTATATGAATTGTCTGTCAAGACAGCATTCTGAAATGAGCAGATAACTCTGACGTGATCAATGGCGTTACTAATGCTAGCGTAAGATCGATTCCTACAACAAATTCATGATGATGTTATCGACTATTATGGGCAATGACATATCTCATTACTTTGCCGAGTAAATGCATGAACTCGAACTGAAACCGTTGCCACGGGACTAGCAGGAAGTTTTAAGGGATTCTACTCAGCAGCTTACCGACCTATCATTTGTTGTCTCGACTTGAAGAGTAGTTGCTATGCTAACACATATCTCATGTAATGTATGACGTTTATGTGCTTAATATTCCTTGGAACGTTTCCTTGAAGGTAAACACAACCGAATTACGTATCACAGGTAAAACACAGTTGGCACATCCCAGTGGCAGACACACCACCAAGTATAACACAAACACAAGTGGCAGACACACCACAAAATATAACACAAGAGTATGACTCAAGCACAAGTGGCACACATCCCACCAAGTACAACACAAAACACAAGTGGCACACATCCCACCAGGTATAACACAAGCACAAGTGGGACATCCCACCATGTATAACACAAGCACAAGTGGGACATCCCACCATGTATAACACAAGCACAAGTGGCACACATCCCACCAGGTATAACACAAGCACAAGTGGCACACATCCCACCATGTATAACACAAGCACAAGTGGCACACATCCCAACAGGTATAACACAAGTACAAGTTGCACACATCCCACCATATATAACACAAGTACAAGTGGCACACATCCCACCAAGTATAACACAAGCACAAGTGGCACACATCCCACCAAGTATAACACAAGCACAAGTGGCACACATCCCACCATGTATAACACAAGCACAAGTGGCACACATCCCCAAGTATGACACAAGCACAAGTGGCACACATCCCACCAAGTATAACACAAGTATGACACAAGCACAAGTGGCACACATCCCACCAGGTATAACACAAGCACAAGTGGCACACATCCCACCAAGTATGACACAAGCACAAGTGGCACACATCCCACCAAGTATAACACAAGCACAAGTGGCACACATCCCACCAAGTATAACACAAGCACAAGTGGCACACATCCCACCAAGTATGACACAAGCACAAGTGGCAGTCATCCCACCAAGTATAACACAAAACACAAATGACACCTCCTACAAGTATAACCCGAAAACAAGTGGCACACATCCGACCAAGTATGACACAAGCACAAGTGGCACACATCCCACCAAGTATGGCACAAGCACAAGTGGCACACATCCCACCATGTATGACACAAGCACAAGTGGCACACATCCCACCAAGTATGACACAAGCACAAGTGGCACACATCCCACCAAGTATAACACAAGCACATGTGGCACACATCCCACCAAGTATAACACAAGCACAAGTGGCACACATCCCACCAAGTATGACACAAGCACAAGTGACATATATTCCACCAAGTGTAACACAAACACAACACATTGACACACATTGAACTCGGCTCTGTTATACAAAGTTAGTTATTATTGATGGATAACCAAGCCTGCTCCATGTGCCTTTTTGTTGACTTCAAGTGACGCGTTGAGGACAGTATCCCTTTTAGCCTAATGATTTGATTTTCCCATTTTCTTTACACATGTATACGCTTCTCAGCTGATTCACCGCCATTGTTCATTGAGAGGAAGTACTGTGGGGGTCGGATACCTCCACTTGATGTTGTTGAATTGTCTGTACATCGAGAAGTGAGTAAGTTTCGCTCAACCTTGAAGAGCGCTTATTACATAAATATGAGTTTGAAAGTGATATACTTGGGTCATATGTTGGCCATTTCCTATTGAGCCTGAATAAAAGACACGACTCGCACCAAGCTGTAATGTTTCAGGAAATAATTAGTCATGCAATATGACAAACACATAAGTAGAAAGTGGTCTATGTATAAAGGCAAATCAACAGCCTAGATCGTCACATGCTGAGTTGAAGTCCAAGTAAAAACTTCTACACACTACAGTGCGGGCTTGAGTTGAAAAGTAAGTGATGTTATCGGTCGGTATATAACTGATATTTTCTTCTGTCAACAGATATTTGTTTGGAGATTTTATTGTTTCGCGCAACTGCCTGCAATATTCCCGCTTTATGACGTCCGTCTGTAGATATAAAGAGGATATTAAACGACCTTCCGTGTAATTTTCATTAAACGAGTTAATGATTTTCACGAGTTTAATAAAAATGGTTATTCACGGAAGCGAGTTTAGCATTCTGTTTATTACTCTCCAACATAAATTGATAGATGACTCGAGTGATCTTTTCACGACTCAATCAAGGTCTAATAACATTGTGACAGAGGAATTGTCATTGTGACGTTATAACTGTAAACCATTATGACGTCATACGTACGGCATCACACGGTGTTATTACACGATGTTTATATATGAACATAATACAACGAACATGTACCCGTGAATGGATCGTGTGACTTTTGTGCTACATTTCTGTAATGGACTGTATGGCGATTGCAATGTATGGCGGATTACTATGGTGGATTGTATGAAGTTAGTGTTGGATTACTATGGTGGATTGTATGAAGCTAGTGTTGGATTAATGTGATGGATTGTATGAAATTAGTGTTGGATTAATGTGATGGATTGTATGAAGATTGTGTCAGAATACTATGGTGAATTGTATGAAGTTATTGTTGGATTACTCTGATGGATTGTATGACGGTAGTGTTGGATTACTGTGGTGGATTGTATGAAGTTATTGCGGGATTACTGTGGTGGATTGTATGAAGTTGGTGTTAGATTACCGTGGTGGATTGTATGAAGGTAGTGTTGGATTACTGTGGTGGATTGTATGAAGGTAGTGTTGGATTACTGTGGTGGATTGTATGAAGTTATTGCTGGATTACTGTGGTGGATTGTATGAAGTTTTTGTTGGATTACTGTGATTGATTGTATGAAGTTATTTTTGGATTACTGTGGTGGATTGTATGAAGTTATTGTTGGATTACTGTGGTGGATTGTATGAAGGTAGTGTTGGATTACTGTGATGGATTGTATGAAGGTAGTGTTGGATTACTGTGGTGGATTGTATGAAGTTATTGTTGGATTACTGTGATTGATTGGATGAAGGTAGTGTGGGATTACTGTGGTGGGTTGTATGAAGGTAGTGTTGGATTACTGTGATTGATTGTATGAAGGTAGTGTTGGATTACTGTGGTGGATTGTATGAAGGTAGTGTTGGAGTACTGTGGTGGATTGTATGAAGGTAGTGTTGGATTACTGTGATGGATTGTATGAAGTTAGTGTTGGATTACTGTGGTGGATTGTATGAAGTTAGTGTTGGATTACTGTGATGGATTGTATGAAGGTAGTGTTGGAGTACTGTGATGGATTGTATGAAGTTTTTGTTGGATCACTGTGGTGGATTGTATGAAGTTTTTGTTGGATTACTATGGTGGTTGTATGAAGTTAGTGTTGCGTTACTGACATGGATTGTATGGAGTTAGTGTTGTATTACTGTGATGGATTGTAGGTTGCTTGTATTGAATTACTCTAGCGGAATTTCTTACGTTTGTGTACCAGGATGCGTTTCTTTTATGTTGCATTACCGAAATGAATTTAATGACGTTAGTGTTGAATATCTGTTATGAGTTGCGTGAGTGATTTGGGTTTTACGCCTCTTTGAGCAATATTCCAGCAATGTCACGGCGGGGGACACCAGAAATGCTGTACTCACGTAAGTCAAAACATTGATTACAAAACAGTCTCGTTTCCTACTGACTGGGTTCCGTCCTATTGGTTACATACAACAATAACTAGTCCAGAATTTGCTTCCTTGATATTATATTATTATCCTCAAGAACATACACTGAAAAAGCCCACAGAACACATAACAGGTGTAACCAGTGAGCCAGATGATTTGTGAATCATTTTACGAGCTCATCAAACAGGGGCAGTATGTAACGTCTTCGTTAAGGCCATGCTGCCTAAACCTCGCCATAAAATATAGAATTACCAATTTATTAAAGTTTGAAATTAAAATTAATTTGTAAATACCATTTTCTTATGAAACAAGGAATTTGAATTTGGTGTAACCATAGTTGTTTGTAGTGTCTCTTTTCACTTTCACCCCAGAAAATTCGGATCGGCTATAAAGTAGGTCATTGTCTGTATTGGTTCATGAGACTCATGTTTCGGTTTGGGGGAATCGAACCCGAGCCTCTCCGACGTGACAAGCGTACACTTTAACCACTAGGCTACCTTACTGCCACTATGGATTGTATGAAACTTGTCTTGCATAAATGTAATGGGTGGTATGGAATTTGTCTTGCTTTAATTAATACATGTACACGAAATGTATGCGATGACAGCATTCCGATATGAGCAGATGGTACTGGCATGGTCAATGACGTCACGAGTCAATAAATGCTGACTTTAGATCGATTCCAACAGTTGATGATGTTACTCCCTATTATACACACAGACATGTTATTACATTGCGGAGTAAAATCACGAACACGAATTTAAAGTGCTGACACAGGGCTAGCATGAAGCAGGAAACAGATGACAGCCTGGTTGACATACAACAGAGAAGCAAGGGACTGGGAAACATGTGCTAAATGACAATACAAAATAGTTATAAGGGATTATACACAGCAGCTGACCTACCTATCATTTTATGAAAACACAAGACCGATTTTGACCAAAAAATATATATCAAATTGATTTCAATGAATTTGTCATTTGGAGAGATATTTTCTCAAAACCGAATTGTTATACGATTATGTATCAAATATAGGTTTGTAAAGGAGATTGGTATCTTGAATATAAAGTTGTTGAGCACAGAGATATATTTATAGATGTTCGTGGAATTGTAAGACCGAACGTAAAACTCGTAATAATAGACTCATCACCAATCACATACCTGTTAAAGTCAAAGAGCAGAATGCATGACGAATTGACATTGTCATAAAAAACAAAACATAAACAATTTTAAAAAACCTATTCACTCCCATTTAATTGGGAAGTCACGATTATAACATTTCTTCTGAACATGCATTTTGTGCCATTATATTACAAAGTATATCTACAATTGCTAATGATAGTCCTTGAAAGCAGAAACATTTGAAGGTATTATAATAAATTATATTGGGACACTGCCGATATCCCTCATACAGTTGTGGAATGGATATAAAACTGGTAATAGGTAATTTCAACCAATTCGTATGGATATTGAATGGTCGGCCAATAATACAGCCTATTTATACCATATTCCAGCATCAAAGATGTTGCAACCTTTATTGGAGAATGAGCTATCCCAGAATTCCGAAACTGAATCCGTTTCGTCGCCGAAACGAGACGAGGAAATGGATTTTGAACCACTTTCAAGCAATGTGGCCTTGGTAGATGACAGGAATACTTCAGGTATATTGATACACTCAGTTGCGATTGAGGTAGAACCTCTTTCATCACAATGTCAGAACCGTATGGGTGTGGCGCCTTCCCTCTCAGAAGGAAAGAAATATCACGTCTTCTTTTCGTATGAAAATACTGACCGAGAGTGGGTGGAACAGATTGCCAACAAACTGGAGTCTCCAGACTTTGGCTTCAAATGCAGCGTCCACGAGAGAGATTTTCATGGGGGCAAGCGTATCATTGAAAACATCACTGAACACATCCGTCTGTCGGAGAAGACGGTGTTGGTGCTGTCTCCCGACTTCCTACAGAGTCACTGGTGCATGTTTGAGATTGAGATGGGGATGATCCTGGGTATGGAGGAGAGCCAGCTGCTGGTGGTGCCTGTGATGGTGAAGCAGTGCCCTGTACCTGACAGTATCAAGACCCTCACCTACATCGACGCAACTCCTGGCAATGACTGGTGGCAGAGGTTCATTGGGGCCATAGTTTCTAGAGGTAATCTTAACCCATACTGGCATAACGTCAACAGGAAACTTTGACCTCAAACGATCATTAAATATATTTAAAAAAAAATAATTTTCTTATGGATAAATCTCTCTGAAAAGATTTCGTTGCTTATCAGAATCAAATCAATATATTAAACGATACTTATTTTTAATAAACTATGTGCTGAAACAAAGGGGCTTTGAAAAATGAAACTTTGAATTATCTTTTTTCATTATTCCCCGCAACGCGTTTGCATAAAAACCTTTTAATATTTCTACACTAAACTTATCACATAGTTAGGTCCGGTGGTTAACTGGTACCTTGTGGTAGCTTTGGATTTCTGAATAAAATATTTTTTGTGTTTCCATGGCAACAACTTTGACTTCCACTGAAATTGGTGGTAGTGCTCTTTTCCGGAGCAGAACTTAAAAACCGTTCAATGTGTCTTCACCAAATTTGGCACATAGATAGGTCTGGTAGTGAACTTGTGCCTTTTGATAGTTTGGGATTTCTGAATACAATTCTTTTTGCATTCCCATGGCAACAAGTTATACTTTGACTTAAACTGGTGGTAGTGCTCCTCAACTTTAAAAGCTTACAATACTCTCCTTCCACTTTGCTGGTATTCAAGAACCTACTGTCATTAATCAACAGTGCCAATCAACAGTATCAACATTACTGAGATACATCAAACCGTAGACAGAGAGAGACATCAAACTGATGTTGATACAATCATGCTAGTATATGAATAGTTTACATATATGTAAGTTTTCGTATTTGACCATTGTGGGGGATATTGATGATTTTGTCTTCTTGTTTTGCTTGTCAGTGATTTCGTGAGGTCCCACACTGCGTGGAGTACCAGTTATACTGCGAATAGTACTCGTCATGAGTTGATCTTTTCGTTTAAGTGAACTTTTTGGTGTTTTTGATTATTTATCACATTAGCGCATTTAGGTTTATTATTTTAGATTTGTCTTTGTGAAAACACATGGTTGGTTTTAGTAAAAGTGGTAGTTTAAAGTGGTAGCATACATTTTGCCAATTCCAGAATTTAGGGTAGGCGGTAAACCAATTTGTAGAAAATAAAGCGCCTAGCTTCCAATAGATTCCAATGACAATGCACCCCATGAAACCTAAGTAAGGTTATGCTAACCAGATTTCACGAGGAACCTTTGTGAATAGCTCCTTGTCAAAATCGGACAGCCCAAGTAAAAATTACAGACAGCGAGTTAGTTTATGTCATGATCACAACTCTACCGGTGTAAAGTCAGCTTAACTTCAATGAGCTGTGCCTAAATTGCTCTGTACGTTTTGTGCCGACAGTTTGAAGTTTTGTGTACACGTGTACAATGAAAAACATGCCAAATTGCGTTTACTTATAAGAGCACATAAAATGCATTGAAGCAGGGTTGAAAGGATCGATATATACCGTTTATGGACATAGTATTACTGAGCATGAGAAAAGTTATTTTCATCTTTTCTAGACGACCTCCTCACCAACTACACTGGTACCAGAGACGTGACAGTCCGGCCTCGATATGGTGAGAAGATGACCATTGTGTCTACTCCAAAGAATCATTTATAATCAGTCCTAGTCCAGCCGTACACTAGGGTCGCGCCACCCAACTCCTTTCACTTTGACTCGTTTCAGGTAATATGGAAAAGTTGACTGAAATAGCCTCCAACTATAAGTGTCCATCAGGAGAAGTCATAAGGACACCGTATGTTCCCGAAGCCTTGCTGAGACCAGGAATACAGGTTTATATATCCTTCTTTTCTTCTTATCATTTGACCCCGGAAACAAAATGGAGCAGACGACAACCCATATCATTTAATTTCTCATTCTTCAGCATTCCAAAGGTAGTAACTGGTCCCAGAGAACCTTTGGTGATTTTGTTTTATTTAAAATGTCCCCTGAATCATGGATTAACACATACGTGCTTCACATTCATACGTGAAGTTACACTTCTCTTCTTTGATGGAAAAATATTATATCCAACGCCCCACCCCACCCCAAAGTCCCAGCTTCACAATGTCATGTTGTTTCTGGCCGTACACAATATTTGTAAATCCTTAACGGTGCTATTGATTTTTAAGGCTATGGTACTCGGCTATGGACGCATATACTAATAATGTGTCCATTTATATAGCGCCAAATTCCACACTTGGTATACTCGTAACGCTAACAATGAATTGCACATCACATTATTACCCCGGATAACCCAAGCTGACTGTTAGGCGCTAGAAGGTTATAGTCACATGACTTGTTCCACCGGGTACCCATTTTCCTGCTGGGTGAACAGAGGCAATTTTGAACAAACTCATTTACCTAAGGTGAGACCACATGTATGACATGTGCTTAATTGTGGGGCAGGATTGAAGTTCTAGATACTCTCAGGAGTCAAGCTGCCAAACACAGTTACCCATCCAAGGACTCTCCGAGCTCGACGTTACTTAACTTCAACTGATTTGTGACCTGAGCTTTGTGCACAGGACCACACACCGCCACATGACTACATCTGTCACATTGTCAATTCCGGCCAATTCTCATTTCAGATACCCCCTGAAGAGTTTGACAAGTCAGTTGACTTGATCCGCTCCGCAACATGCTTCTGCAAACATCTCTATGACTTTGGACCTTGTTGTGTACCCATTCTTGTGGTGCTACTCCTTGCAGGCTTCGTTGCTATGCCACTTGTAACATTTGTTTATGTTCTTTCCTTCCTTGCTGGCCTCAGTGACTATCAGCCAATTATCATCTTTGTTTCAACCCTAACAATTCCGTGGGTAGTGTTCATTGCCGGCTATGCCATACAGCGATCGACGGTAAGTACACTTGTCTGTGTCTCTCTGTGTAGAGGGCTGGAGAGTGGGAGGTAATGAGACTGTACCTCTCTGTGTAGAGGGCGTGTTACGACGTAAATTGTAATAAAAACGCAAATTGTAATACTTGCAGCAAATTGTAATAAACTTGACGTAAATTGTAATAAAAACGTAAATTGTAATAAAAATTGACGTAAATTGTAATACGCAAATTGTAATAATTTTCGTTGCGGTAAAATGGAAAAAATATTTACGTAAATTGTAATAACAGTTTTAATCACTCGTAAATACGCGGGTGTTTGTTTTTCGTTGCATTTCATACATCAAATAAGCTTGTTAGGGTGATAACTCAAGAAAGAAATGATGGATATGGTTCAAATTTGGTACCAAGGTATATTGGCAAGATTCACCGACACAAGTGAAATGGAGTGACCTTGAGATAATTTTCAAGGTCACAGCAAAACTCTGAGGGTTTTGCCAATATAAAGATTGTTAGCGCGATAACCCAAGAATGAATTGACAAATCTTAGCTAAATGACGAAAATGATATTCGTCCTGATATATAATCGATATAAGATCTCTTACTGTCCTCCGTAGCATGTCTTTTCGCAAATATCTTTTGAGGTTTTGATATGTATGAATATAAAGTGGGGTGGAGTGGGGTGTGGGTTTCTAACGGGTATATCAAATCAAATCAAATCAAATTAGACATTTGTATAGCGCTACATATCCAGAGTCCTGCTCATGTGCGCCTAGTCGAATGCTCGTTTGAAGAGGATGGCGACAAGATCGGAAACTGTTGATATTTTCCGATTTTCTGACATTTTCAGGTAATCAATTCCAGAGTACAGCACCCGGTCTGCTAAATGATCTGTCTCCGTATGTTGTGGTTCTGACAAATGGAATAGCCTAGCTGACTAGCAATGAAATGCATCACAAATAAAACTTCAGGAAACAAAATATGCAAGAAACATTTTTGTAGGTTTGAGATTGGTAGAGGTCGGCTAGAATCAAACTTAGATATTAAACTGCACAAAGGCAATTTGAAACTACAACTTGTTCAAATGATAACTTAAAGAACTCGAGTAAGAAATGATGGATTTTGGTACCAAGGTTTATTGGCGAAACCGACACCACTTGAATTTAGTGACCTTGAGGTCATTTTAAAGGTCACAGCGATGCTGTAACAGTTTTGCACATGCCAAGCTTGGTAGCCGCGAAATTAGGAAAGTATTAATAGATTTTGATCATATCAAGGTGTATTGGCTCCCCTTTGAAACAAAATATGCAAAAACATGTTAAAAAGTCTGAAAAACTGAACTCGAGTAAGAAATGATGGATTTTTGGTACCAAGGTTTATTGGCGAGATTTACCGACACCACTTGAATTTAGTGACCTTGAGGTCATTTTAAAGGTCACAGCGATGCTGTAACAGTTTTGCACATGCCAAGCTTGGTAGCCGCGAAATTAGGAAAGTATTAATAGATTTTGATCCAATTTTATATCAAGGTGTATTGGCGGGAATCCCCCTACACCAATTGAAACACAATATGCAAAAAACATGTTGTATGTTGGTAAAAGTCAAACTTAGATATTAAACTGCACAAAAAAGCAATTTTAAACTGTAATCACTTGTTCAAGTGACTCCCCCTTCATGTTTACTTAAAGGGCTTGTTTTGGAGACACTACCCACCCCCTTTCAGTTGACGTCATCATAAGGATACAACTCATCCTAAAGTTTTCACTTATTCATACATGGTGTCAAGGGTTCAAAATAAATACTGAATGGTCACACAAGTGTCAGCTCTCAATATGTTGTATATCTGGACACAATATTTTTGAAAATTTAAAATGAGGGTGTCCTAAAAAAACCAGTCCCCGTCTAAATGTAAATCAAGCAATCTAAATCTTTGAATGTTGATGATGACGGGAAGTCATCCAATACTATGCTGAACATATTCTATATGATACTATCTGAGGGTATACCATTATCCAAGAGATAGCGCAATGGTGCAGTTGTAAGGCGTCTGCCTATCACGCTGAAGGCCCCACTTTCGAGGAGGCACCGAGGTTCGGTTCCCGAGATGGGCACATTTGCGTAGTATCCTTGGACAATATACTTAGATCTGCACTGTCTGAGTTCACCCAGCTGTAAAATGGGTACCCGTGAGTATGTGCTGGAAATGTGAGTGTTTAGTTTATTGCGCCTAACAGGCAGCATGGCTGTACAGTCCCCAGGGAGTTGAAAAAGTATCGGGAACTACGATAGTGTCGTATGATCGGGGATAGTAATGTACGTAGCGCCGTGAGCAGGCAATGTGCCTGGATGTGAGCACCATATAAGCGGACTATTACTATTACTAGATACCAAATGGGAGATCGTTTTCCATTTTCTGCAAATTTGCAAGAAACATAATACCCCAATGTTGTGATGACTAATATATCGTTAACCACATTACCCACATGAAATTTTGGATATGACTTTGCTAATGATTCCTTCATAATAAAATGGAAGCTTTTTTTCAAACATTGGACATCGAGAATATAGTTAGTTTGACTACTTTTTCAACGCCCCTCGTAACATACTTAAAAGAAATGAGAACGTCTAAGGAAAAAAGGATTTCGATCTCTGAATACTTCTGAGCTATTTAAATACAAAAAGCAAAGGAATAAAGTAAATAATCTGAAAAGAACAGCCAAGGGAAACTTTTAATCTATTTTTGATAACTATTTATCACCTCAGTCTACTCAATCAGGTGGTTACTACTTCATCGGGACCCATTCCCCTTCTTGTCACTGATGATTCTGGGATACCTTCAGTTTTTACAGATTTGGATAAAGCTCAAACATTAAATGAATATTTTGTATCTGTTTCAAATGTTACTGATGTCGGCAAGACTTTGCCACCTGTTAGCCATCGCTGTGTTAACAGTATAACACATGTCATTGTAACCGAAAAGGAGGTATCTGATAAGACCTTACCAGCAAACAAATCTAGTGGACCTGATGGCATTAACATGAGAGTGTTAAAACGAATTTGTACATCTATAGCTGAACCTCTTTGTTTGTTGTATAATATATCACTGAGTGACTGTATTTCCTACATTGTGGAAAACGGGTAATGTTACTCCTATTTTGAAAGAAGGAAATGCATCCCTCCCAACTAATTACAGACCTATTAGTTTAATACCTATCCTTTGGAAAATCCTTGAAAGAATAATGGTAAAGCATGTGCACGACCATTTCCATGAACATAACATTTTAAGTAAATTCCAGTCAGGTTTTACTGCTAGTCATTCTACTACATCTCAACATAGACATTTATCATAATATATGCTCAGTCCTAGATAATCACCACCTTTCCTGTATGCTGTTTTGTGATATTTCAAAAGCTTTTTACAGGGCATGGCATAAAGGTTTATTGCACAAATTAGAAAATGATGGTGTTCGTGGGAACGTACTTAGTTGGTTAACTAACTATCTATCTGGGCCCGGTTGTTCAATACTCGGTTATCTTAACCGCCGGTTAACTCCTAACGGCCGGTTAAATCCTTAACCGACCATTAGGTAACCAAACCTTAAATATGCGTTGTTCAAAACATGGTTAGTCATGCCGTTAGCTAACGTCGCCGTCAAAGTTTAACAGTGTGGTTAACGTCACTGGTTAGCTTCCATATATCCCATAGTTCCGTTTTCTGTTTACTTCCGGTTTACCAAAAATGGAAACGCAAAATGTCGCCTGCACCCCAAGGATAAAGAGAAGTCGAAATTTCTCTGCTGACGAAGAGAATGTAATCCAGTCAATGGTTGAGGCCAACTCTATAGTTTATCATAGGCATGCGAATGTCGTAGCGTTACGAACGTTTTGTATTGGAACACAAGTTTCCAGCCGTTTGCATAATTTACATTTCAAAGACATATGATCCCAGCTCTGTGTGGGACTTCCTTCAATTCCAGCAACAGAAAAGACATTTTAATGACTGACTGACTGACTGAGTTTGGTTTTACGCCGCTTTTAGCAATATTCCAGCAACATCACGGCGGGGGACACCAGAAATGGGCTTCACTCATTGTGCCCATCTGGGGATTCGAACCCGGGTCTTCGGCGTGACGAGCCAATGCTTTAACCATTAGGCTACCCCACCGCCCCACATTTTAATGAAAAACTATAGCACAGCTATAGATAAAATATGATGAATCCATGAAAATAATATTACTGACTGACTGACTGAGTTTGGTTTTACGCCGCTTTTAGCAATATTCCAGCAACATCACGGCAGGGGACACCAGAAATGGGCTTCACACATGAAAATAATATTAATATTAGAAGCATGTTGTCCGTGGATAGAAAATGTATAAATATTACACACAGAGTTACGCTTAGACGGCTACAGTCTTAATGAATCTTTGAATTCCCACAAGACTTATCACTCACTTTTCACTCCTTAAATTGTCATGACTGTATGGCCAAGTCGTGAAGATGCTATCAATATCATTTATTAATTATTTGCCAAGTCTGTCAAAAATTGTAATTTATGAACACACATTGCCAAATCTTTTAACATCAAACAATATAGATGTTGTGTAATTAATACCATAGCTTTTATCTGAAATATGCATTCAGTACCAATAGAAACTTAATATGTTACTAGCACCACGTGCAAGTAATCAAACTTTAATCGTACTATAGGCCCCAGGGCCAACACTGCTGAATAAAATCGATCTATTATTCGACCGTACTTTTGACAAGAATCTCATGAATAATACTGTGCAATATCGTCATTATCTGAACGCCTTCACAGACGCATATTTCGGAAAGATGTCTTGAAAAACATGAAGCTGCGTCTAATTTATAGATGAACATAATTTCCTCGATACTCATTAATCAGATTAACCTTCATTTAGTTCAATTCCCAAGTGACTGCAGAAAATGCATAATTCTTGTCAATGACTTCACGGTCGGAAAACATATATTATATTTCATAAGTGTATTATAGAACGCT